GGCACAACAACGGCACAGAAGAAGCATGAAGCAACTTATTACTGTCGCGTTCGCTTCGATCATGCATGTGTCGCAAACTCGCGGCGCAGAACGATGAAAAACATCATTATTGTCATAGACGTTGTTTAATTCGATTATTCGATTCTTCGACGGGAACAAAGCGACAAAGCGACAAAGCGACTCTCGTTTCATAAAGTTGATTGAAAAACTGTTGAAAACTTAGTTGTCGAAGATACTTGAAATATCTCACGTGTAGTTGCAATGTAGTTATGTACACGTGAAGTGTTCAATTGTATCCTGTATTTCAATTATTATTATTCGCGTCTTCGACCGGAAGCGGCAACGAGAAAAGAAATCTTTCTTTTTCGCAGCTTCTTCTTTCTCCATCTTTTTCGCAGCAGTGCTTAACTGCTTATTTAAAAATACATCGACGTCCACGTGAATGGGATTCTATGATCTATACCTGCGTCGTGCATTGAGAAACAATGGGCTCGAAACGTGACAGATCATAGCTATAAAGTAATAATCTCGTTGGATGAAACGCGGAAACACACCCACGCACACCCCCGGCTCGTTCTTTTCACGAATGACATAAACTCGACTTTAACACTCATATGAAGTCGCATCGTGTTAATAACCACCAGTGGAAGATTCGAAATCTTCATCGTTTCTCTCATTGGAATTTCTCTTTATTGCTGTCACAATAGCTATAAAATACATATCAAGAATAATTTCTATCTAGTTGTCTGAGCGAGCACAGTAAAATTTTTATGCATTTATGGAAAATTTGAAAGAACCAGTTGTTATAATATTCTATCTTGTTTATAACATTTATATACTAATTGCATACGTTTAAGTATAGCATTTAACACTTGGACGTACACTGGATAAATATATATGTTAACAAAGATAGAAATATAAAAAAGAAAAGAATTAAATGCAAAAAAATTAGAATCTTATTCAGAGAAAGAGAGCCAAGAGAAAACTGTTCACCTTGTTGCTAATAATTGTTGAACGTAGAAATTTTGTTAGTTATCCCTGGATTCGATTCTTCAGTGTCTAATTCCTTAACGCGCGTAGCCACACCTAACTTGCAAATTCTACCATTCCTATACCTTCTGTCTGACACTCGATACGCTCGCTATCAGCAGATTATTAGAGATCTAGTGGCACTAGAAAGTTTCGTTTCAGTACCGGCAGTGTCGAATAATTTGTACGTTTGGCCAACTATTTCACGCGATGAATTTCAATCGATACTGATTACGTAAGATTAAGACATAGCTCTTTTCAAACATTCCTACGACTGCAGCAACAATCTTTCCCAATTTCACCTATCTTCCTATCTATCTCTTTATCAAAACATTCGAAACTAAGTGGTCATAGTTTACTATACACAGACACCATGAAAGTATCAGGTTACATTCTCAAGCAATTTCTACGATAAACTTAAACGATAAATAATGAAGTTTGTAGTTAGAAAGGTGTTAGCTCATTGCTTAAAAGATGCTTGCAAATTACTGCAAATTATTGCAATACATGTCTTCCTCTATTCTCTAGAGTTAATATCAATAAATCTTTATACATTTTGATCATCATTGAGTGCAATAAAAACAAATAGATAATATAATATAATAGAAGACTCTTAAACCTCTCCACTTGTTACTGACTAATATAACTATTCTTGATCGATTGAAAGAATATTTGTGATCTTCCAACAAGGAAACTTCTCCTATTATCTGGAACAATACAAAATGATAAAAGATAAAGGTAATTATACCCATGTACAATTTGTGTCAAACTGAAGGTCGGAAATAAAATCGTTGGACCGTTGAACTTGGTTAGATTTAAGGGTTGCAACGCTGGGAAGCAGGTGTGACTATTTATTTCGCGGCTAGGTGAGACACACGGCCCTGAATGTAACGTCAACCGCGAGCAAACAAGCATCTATGCGTGGGCATACAAATCGCGTAGGTGTCCCTCTTCGACTACCAAGCTTTGACCCAAGGGCACTAGCTGTGCATTACGGAACGCATGCACGTCGTCGATATCGCTCGCGTTTTCATATTTTTTTACCTGTTCCAAGTGCGAAGCTATTGGATCATAAGTAATCATGTCAGCTTTTGTGTTTAACCCGTGAAGGGTTGATGTTGCATTAATCCATAGACAGCGGATAGTTTTACATTCGGATTTGACCCATATTTCTTTTTATACACCGTGCCACACATTCACACCCGCAAGAACTGAAATCAATTTAATTGAACTGAATCTACAGCGATTAACTTTTAATTCCACAACTTACTAACCTCCGACTGAAAAAAAAAGAAAAATGGTTCGATTAATCCGTATTTCCATTTATAAGCGCATAATTGACAAAGTACCTGATTAATCTTTACTTCCAACATTCTCTTAGATTACCGAAGATATTTGAAAAATTTCGACAACTTACTTTCGTACTTTCCAGCAGTTTTACTTTCCTAACCTAACCTCCAAATGTTTGTACAACAATCCAACCTGAATTTTCTTTCGGTAGATTCGAACGACGTTGAAAGCTTACTACAATGGTGAATGCCAACGCAATTAATCACAATGCAGTTGATGGAAATATGCAGAAACGAATTCAAGGTATTTAATTGCAACGGGCAACGAGGATATTCCGCGATCGGTCACGTACACGCCGGTTAAGCGTATAAATTGTGATTGCGAATGATAGCTGAAAATATTTCTAACGACATAATGACTGTTTGCGTTGATGGAGAGAGAGACGGTCGAGTTGCCGAGTCGTTTTGAAACGTGTTCGAGCGTAAAAATTCCAAGAAGAAAATATAATGGTACTCAGCTTACAGGAATCTCCGTTTGCCTTCGTTCTCTGTACGTGGATGTGTCACGGCCTAGGAATGTCTCGAATTTCCAAGTTTGGGAACACTCCTGCCTCGTAATTCGTGCCATGGCTTTGGTCACGCACGTGTGTACGCAATATCACGCACACTGTCCGCATGTATTCCTTTAAAGTTATTCCTTCCCGCCAAAAAATTTGTAAATTTCATCAGACGAATATCTCGATCGACCTCAACCTTCGATCTCACTCCTCGCAAATATAGATACACAACGTAGCCGATTTTCACGATACGGTCGTCTTCAATCTTTCCCTTGGCGTGTAAAAAGCAATGACAGAAACGAGATTAATCACAAAATTCGTCTAAACCGTTTTTGTAACCATTAAACAATATGGTGACGTATGATGCGACACCAACGCCACCTGAATATTGATACGATATACATGTGCATATTTATTTTTTATACTTACTTTTAAATCGTTAATTATTATTGCTACCGTTATAAATGGTCAAAACTTTATAACTCAGAATCAATTATATATATTCTTGTTGAAATAATAAATTAGCTAATTATATATGATATTGTAACATCAATTGATTTATAAATAAAGAAATACCAGATGGAAATATAAATTAACAACTTCAAACAAATGAATAACTCTGACTAAATAAATTATGTAAACAAGCTTGTGAAACAATCGATTTAAAATAAATTGAGTCATCAAATAAAAGAAAAATTATTACAAATTTACAAAAAATGAAACAACCTTCGCTATAATGCGTTAACCTCGTATTTGACGATAACAATTTACAAACTCTACAATGAGTCAATTAATTGTTGAACACAAAGTTTAAATTAATAAACTACCACATGCTTTTCAATCGATTAAAAAGCACACAGCATACCTAGAAGCACTACAAACGATTATCTTTGAAAGTTGACAGCGTATTGATATTTTCTTAAGTCACAACATTGCATAATGCAATCGACTGTTCTCTCTTTCCTTTTCACGGACATTCCTGCAGCCTTCGCACGTGGAAATAACTTACGTTTCAACATACCTTGAACAAACTGAGTAACCAAATATGTAATAAAAATCGTGTATCCGAGAATCTGATAAGAATACTTAAGAAATAAATTCGGAATATCTATTAACGATAGTTGCGTATCAATCGTTATAAATTTACGAAACGATGTTACAGGAATCGAACTCGAGTTGAAAGAATGCGAGAAAGAAGAAAAAAAAAGAAATATGGCGGAGGCACGTTGGCACGCATGCGCACTCGCGAGAGAGAAAGAATTTTCCTAAACACAGATGTCGAGCAGATGCCACGCATTGCTGGGAGGGACGCACAGTGGGAAAACCGGCGAGTTCGATTCGAGTTTCCAAAAAGAAACAAGCACCGAGAGGTGAGAGAGAGGCGAGTTTACTGGCTTCGCAGAACGAAATTTCGAGATTTCGAGGAACGCGAAAGTCGCCCCGGCACACGGAATAACCGTACACCGGGCTCTGTTGTTCGCGTGCCAAATGTGCAAACAAAAACAGCAGCAAACGCAATCTGCAGTCAAACTGCCGGACGATAACTTAAGCGAAACACAAGTATCAATTATACGCCACCGATATGCAGTATTACATATTGAAATATAGATAATTTTCAATCTTTATCGTTATGTACATAGTTATGAATATAGAAAGTCCTTGTAATTATATTTTCAAATAACGTGTTCTTAATTCGCATTATATCCAGTAGTTAAGAGTAACTCCCTTTATATGCAATAACTTACAAAATTATTCCAACAATTGTAGAATTCTTTACATGTTACATGAAACTGCAGTGAGACAAACTTGAGATATGGTAATTATTTAAGAATTTATGTGTTTTCCTCGAACTGACAAGAAGGAAAAATCGAATGAAAAAACTATTACACGTAACGAGATCGATGTCTTAATGGCGACATCGGAAGATCAAAATCGGAAGAGTAATACCCTTGTATCAAGGTCTATTTTTAAGTATCAGTCACTTGTATGTACGTTTTATACCGGTTAGCCCTGTAAGATGGTTCACTTACACTAAACTCCACAGCTACGTATATACACATTAATCTAGGCAACGTGAACACGTGGAACACGGTGTCCCTGTAAGCCAGTTTTATAACAAGATTTTAGTCTTTTGCTCAATAACGAACGCCATTCACTGGATCCATCGTGAGATTAATATGTACTTGCTACATTTACTCTTGTCGCGGATCGAAAAAAATATTTTGTTTCAGCGTTAAAAATGCGGGTACTGAATATTCTAGTATCGAACGAGAATTTCAATATTTAAAACGTTAACTACTTTAATAATCGAAAATTAATCTAACGTGTAAATTATTATTATTGTTCACGTGGAATGATATGTTGACAGATCGTTCGTATTTAACCTATTATTAACCTGTTATAAAATAGGTATTTGTAAATTCTACGCTCAATTTATAAGTTACGAATTGTACGTATGTATATATGTAATGAAACGTATTAAAATTATAGCGACCGAGTAATACTCATTCTGTTTACAACAAATTTACAACAGAAAATAAAGAAGTTAATGTGTATCAGATTTAAGGTAAAAAATTCTACGTCTTTGCTCGCAATAGTAGCAGCTGGTTAAAACGCAATGAAATTGTTATTTTTCTATCAGAAAGCTCAAACGTGAATAGTAGTTTTATTTTCGTGTGCGACCGTGGTCACCAGATTTCTCGAGTTTTTCATCGACAGCGCGGCGGCCCTGGCGACTGGAATGCGGGCGCGGCGAGTCCTCGGTGTATGAATATACGCGTACACATAGATACACACGCTCGAGAAGCTTAAGGGGCACTCACACGAGGGGAATGTAACGTCAGAAATATTTTGTACTTTCGGGCTCGTGCGTATATGCCTATGACGAATGTGCATGCTGCACACGTGTTAATTATCACAGTATCACGAAACGTTCATCCGTGTCTATAAATGCAGAGAAAAAAGAAAGAAAGAAAGAAAAAAAAAAAAACTCGAATGCGATCTTTAAATGGGATAATAAGGTTCGCGCGTAGAGATCGCACGCAATTTCATATATACTCTCTGTTTTAGCACGTGTACGCGTGCATACAAACATATACATAGAAAATGGCGTACCTGTCTCTAGGATCGATCCACGTTGTTTTTCTTGTGTTGTGATCGATGAAATACACTTTTCCATCAAAGTCTTGCGCGACGTCCCACCCTTCCGGAAGCGGTATCTCCCCATTCCGTCTCCTTGGCATATTTCACTGCGCTCTAAATCCATCCAAAACTCTCTATCACCGACCAGTCGACAGGCACATATCTGTGCGCGCGTGCACACACTCCCCGTGCCACATACACGCTGTATTGATGAAAGAGAAAGAAAGACAGTCGATGTAAGAGAGACAAGGAAAGACGTTCGAGTTGGTAAAGAGAAGGCACGCAATAGTAATACACACCGATACACAGTGGAATGGAGATAGAAAGAATGTGTTGCATGCCACTGAACGCACACACGCACAGACACACGCATGACATACACGCATACAGGCATAACCGAGCGGACACGTATACAACTCTGTCGAAAGAAAAGAGAAAGAAGAAGAGAAGGAGAAAAAAGATAGAGAGGGAAGGGGAAGAGAGTGAGAGAGAGAGAGAAAGATACATCACGTGCATATGTATACATATATGTAGATTCGTGTAGTATATATAATATACACACATGCTCTTGCTCTCTCTGTCTATGGGCCTATCTCTCTCATACTCTATCTCTCTCTCTCTCTCTCTCCCTCACGCGCTACTCCGCCATCATGAATACCTCATTATCATGAGCGGAGTGACGTCAGAGTCCCCGCCTTCAGATTCCTCTCGAGCGGAATTCCACCGTTAACATAGCTGGCCGTCGAAGAAAAGTCCACTGTTGGTATTCTTGCCTTGAGACGGTACCGTGGTCCTACATTTGTACAAGACCGTCCGTATGAATGCCCGTTACATTATCGTATCTTGTATCTTCTTTTCTTTTTTTGCACTGGTCACTTTGCAATATCGAGATGCAAAAAGAGATATACAAAATAGCACACAGCCTTCACACCACTAGTCGACGACCGAATTTTTTGGTAGAGAAAAAAGAAACTGAAAAACACTTTCACCCTTTCTCTGCCGTCTCACTCCGTCGTTCACTTTTATTTTACACTCTTATCCCTTTTTGTTCGTAAGCTCTAGCTTATAGTATCACGTGCCGATGTCCTTTAATTTCTACCAATTTTAAAACGGATGTAATCATCCGTTTTACGCCATCGGGAAGCAGGATCACGCGAAAAAATACTTACAACACCGTGCCGGTAATCGAACGGCAAACACTTCTCCAGTTAACGTCGTTCAGATGCACCCTCTTTCATTGATGAAATTTTCGAGCAAGACGAGCAAATTGTTCAGGCGCGTAGCAATCACGTCGTTCTCCTTTTGAAGCAACAGGAACGACGACGAGTTTCTCGGAGCAGAGACGGGATAGCATCTGCGTCTGGCGACCCGCTTTAAGTGCACGCTAATGCCGGTACTATCGAGTACATTTCACCGTGTGCTCCCTTTTCCTTCTCGCATTGAACCTTGCTGCTCGTCGTCAGCGAAAGACAGCGCGAATCAACAAGCGACGTTCGCCTTCGAGGAATGTCAGAATTCGCCTTGCATTTCTCCCCCTTCCCCCGCGCGCGTTATTTCATTCCGTTTCTTCTTTTTCTTTTTCTGTCTTTATTTTCTCTTTACTTACGCGGAACGAAACTGCAGGAAACACTGTTCATGGGTTACCGCAAGACACTTTTCCTCCGTTGATGGATCGAATTGAACATGGCTTCGGCAACGATTCTACACTCTATCGAGTCCGTTGTTCCAAGTGCCAAGAATACGCGTAAACTACTCTTTCGTTTCGACGATACTACAACCTCGCGCCAACTACAAGCATGTCGAGTGTTTGAAACATGCCACTGGACGTTCATACCGTGTGCGCTTGGCAATGCTTCTCACTCACTCTCTCTTCCTCTTCGCCTCAACGCGTACACCGATGAGAACAGAACGTAATCCCCTCTACCAGCCTGGATATTCTCCTTCCTTCTTTATCTTTCTGTCGAATCGCCCCCACTATTAGGAACGAAAGCTCTCGTGTCTCTGACCGCTGTAGACGAACGACGACGGGAACAGACGAACGCGTTGCCCTTTCCGCAGTTTCACATATTTTCCGTTATATTACGATGGCGGCACCACCGTACAACCCTCATGGAAACGCAGGTGCACTCGAGACCGTTGAACATCCGGGACGAATGAATAAACCGATGGTAATCCGTTGGTGCCCCTTCGAGAATGTCTCGTACTCATAAGCCACTGTAGCATTCGCGTGTATTGCTTCCTCTTTCTTTTCTTTTTTTTTTTTTCTCTTCGCTGTTATCTCACTCGACGTGTAGCTTCCAAATGTACCAAATGTCGAGATTCAGTCAAGTTCATTCTTCTATTTACATTCTTCAGTGTTGTTTAAAATATTGTAATTTTACACGGAATTAATATAATTAACTGTACTCGAATATTTTTCGTGTCACGTTTTTATGATTCTGTATATTAAAGTTTTTTTTTCTTTTTTGTACTTTTTGAATAAATGTAATAATTTCTTTCGATGATGTGGGAATATGTCTTGCAATGTCTATAATTTTTTTCGTTCCTTTTCACCTAGAAACATTTAATTCTGCTTTAAAATATGTATTTTTTGATTTTTACAAGTTCTGTATAAAATTCTATCTTTTGTTTTCGTAAAGGAAATTATATATCAAGACTATAGTTCGGAATATTTTTCGAGCATGCGCCTTCGACTTTTTGCTCTACATACGTATTAATTTATTGTAAATTTTATAAACTCTGTGAATTGTTATTTCCTGGGTGAGACACGTGACGTGTGTATAATCATGTATGCATATACGTATGTATGTACGTGGTGTAGGAATGCGATGTATGGACGAGGGTTCTCTAAATGCGGTAACATTTTTAATCCAAATTTTGTAAACGATAGAAATTAAACGTAACAGTTGTAACGTAAATCAATTGCACCAGGAGATTCGAAGATTTCGTAAGCTGCTTCTGGTAGATTTAGTGTTTTATACGAAGTTAATATGGCAACGTCTGAGAGCGATGACTTTGAAAGCGCTGACGAAGAAATGAACCACGATATGCCAATAAAAAGGCATACTCAAATGCAACAGTGGAGTTCACGAAATACAATAGGTTCAGAATCCGATGATGATATGGAATATGTACCTCGGCAATCGTGTACGAATGTAAATTTGGGTAGAAGAAGGGAAAAATATTGTCCGACAACAGATACGTCAACTAATAAAAAAAGAGTTGATAAAGATATCAGTATTAAAGATACATATAATTACAAGAAATACGAGCAACCAGTTATCAATGTTGACGAAGCTTGTGGAAAAAAAGATGAAAATATTACATGTATCGATTCACAAGAAGTGGGATGTGCACAGGCTAATATTGGTGACATGGACCTGAAAGTGGAAAATAATAATGAGAACACAACATTAAATAAAACTAAAGTAGAGAAACCTACTGGAAGGGATATTGATATGGACTTACATTCTGAGGTAACAGTTAAATTGACTAAAAAAGAACAATCTCAACGCAAAGAAAAAAAATTAGGTGCAAAAAAGTTAGCAACAAAGATTACGCCAAGTAGTAATTTTATGACTGATATAGATAACAGAAACAAAAGGGATATAGTAATAACAGAGGAAGATGTATGTAATAAATCTTCTATAAAAGACGAGATAACTGAATCAGATATGCCAGAAGAACTGAAATCTGAGAAAACATTTAAAGAAATATTTAAACCTGAAGGTTGGGAAGGACTTGGGGATTCAATTGAATTACCAGATGAACTGACTGAAGAAAAATTACAACCAGTATTAAAAAGATTATCGTTAGTTGGTGAAGAAACCGATAGCTCATCGGGTTGGGGTTGGGGTAATTGGGATGTAAGTTCTTTAATTAATACAGCCAGTGCTGGAGTTTCTACATTAACTAGCCATGTATCACAAGGATTTACACTTTTGGAAGAATCTATGGCTATATTGGATGAACCTAAATCTACTACAAGTGAGGAAGAAGAAAATCAAACAGACAACGGTACTTCATAGTTTTATAAGCTTTTTATTATATATTTATAAATGACAAAATAAATATACTTAATGACATATTTAATTATAGCTAACTTGTGCGACTATTATATTTTTATTTTAATTAATTTTTAGGTAATAAAGAGGAACAGACCAAGGAACAATCTTCTTTTGGATTTGGAAATTTTATATCGAGTGTATCGTCAATAACAAAACTGGTTGAATCAACTGGAAGCAAAGTTATGAGTGGTGGATTAGACACATTAGAAGCTATTGGTAAGAAAACAATGGAGGTTTTACAAGAAGGTGATCCGGGATTAAAGAAAAAGAGGGCTTTTTTCATGAATGAAACAGACAAGCCAAATTTATCTCAAATTCTTCGAGAGGCTAAAGAAAAAGCAAACAATACTGAAAAAACAATTGAAGAAAGACAAAAAATGAGAAAAGTACATTTTGAAAGTCTTCTTGATGATTATCAAGGACTTGTTCATATAGAAGCATTAGAAATGCTATCAAAACAAAGTAATATTAAAATACAACAGTATTTGAGTGGTTTAGATTCAAATGAATTAAATTCTGTCCAAAAAATGTTGGAAGAAGTTGAAGAACTATGTGAATTAGGTGATGACGATGAAAATAATGATGAAACAGATGAGAAAGATTTGAAATATAAATTACAAGAAGCTTGCAGCGATCTTGGAATTAATATTACTTATGAGAAATTGCACGAGGTAATTTCTATTCTACTAATACATACATGAGTTTATTAAATAAATATTGATTTCAGATATATCAAAGCTCTAAGAACTATAATACTTCAGCCACGACGCCTAATGATCAAGAAATTTTCGAACATGCCATTTCTGTTTTGGCACAATTTACAGCATTTTCCATAGAAAGATTTCATAAAACTGCAGAATTACTTTTAATCAAAGAACATCGAAGCACTGTGAATGAAACTGATTCATTAGTTCAGTTAACGAATATTCTAACTAATCAAATTGGAATATTAGCTAATATTTACTGTAGTGCTTTGAATAAACTTGCTGAAACTTCAGACAAATCTGATGGTATTAACGCTAATATAACAACGATTTTCATGGAAGTAAGACAGTATTATTATGTTTCATCTATTCAATTAGTAAGAAATTAACTAAACCTTTTTTTTAATAGACTTCAAATGCAAGTTCTTACATTCAAGATGCCTTCAAACTATTGATTCCCATTATACAAGTTGGTGCTATATAACAATGGACAGAAATATTTTCTGAATGTATGTTCTATATGTATTATAAAAAGTATAAATAACCTTTCAAATAATTAATTTCAAAAAGAAATATTAGAAAATATCTTTAAAAAAAATTTTTTTTAAATATTGTAAGTAAAGAAGATTGGAAGAAAGAAAAATACAAAATGACAATTTTTATACTATATAAACTGCATGAATTTATAATATAAATAGTCTTAATAAAAAATTGAAGTCTCAACATATAGATTACAAATAACTCTCAAATTCCCTATCTTACGTTATTCTCATCAGTATTAGAAAAATAAAAAAATATTTCTAATAACACCTTTGTTAAAAAAATTAAAAAACTTATTGTCTTATAAGTATTACTCTCTAATGTATCTTAATATATTTAATTTTATGTTAAACATTTGAACTAAAAAATGTCAAGTAAATATTTTTTTAATTTTTTAAATAATGAATCGGAATATTAGAATTGTATTATATAGTAAAAAATAAGTAGAATATTTAAAACGTTTTTAACCATACGAGAATAAATATATATAAACTCGATTCAATGTTTTCCTCTTTTATTACCAATAGGAGGTTTCTGAAGTTGAAAACTCGAGTTTGATTCACTCGTTGGTAAAGGTGTAGTAAAATTTGACGGAGTATTAAAAGTCAAACTTGCTGTTGGTGGTTTCAATGACGAACTTAGAGTAATGTTAGTGGCAGATGATGTTGGTATTGTATTTCCCCAAACTGTAACAACATATATACTGAATTATTTTGCATCTATTTCTAGGAGTCAATTTAATTTGCGAATATAGTAGCTAAAGCTGTGTTTCAATGGATTAAGATGTCATTGAACAGTAACAAAGTAGCAACACTAACAATATTATAAAGTTAAAATAATGTTCTTTTTTTAATAAAACTAATATTCAATATCTCCAGATATTCTATATTCTGTGAAATACACAATTTAATTAACACAATTTAATTAACACAGACATTCTTACTAAACCACCAAAAAGCAGAAGCAATTATTAAAGCATATATAAAATATACAGCCATTTCTTATCAAGCACCAATTTCAACCTCCCTTTATTATTTGCTATTTTGGAATGCAAATTAAAGAAAAGAAAGAAACAAAATATCATTTTTTTATTATTATTAGAAGTAAATGTATAATTAGTAAATGCTAAACACAAAAGCTATGCATTTTTTTTATGACACAAACAGAAACTGTAGAAAAATTTAGTACCTCATAAACTAAAACAGATTCCTTACTCTTTTCCTGGAAATGTAAAATCAAAATCAAATCACAGAAATAAAATACCGATCATATTTACAGAATAAGTAGTTACAACACTCTTACTATTGATATATGTGAAATTCTACAGTACTTAATAAAGGACGTTATATGTTAGTAAATCTACCTCATACTAAATCCACGCAAGACCTGAAGGTAGGAGATATTTATGGGACAGTTGAAACAACGAAAATACGTTGTTTTAGGAATCTTGTTTTTAACAAAAAAAAAAAGAAAATATATTAACATTACAAATTTATATATTAATTTCATTTACCTAATGGATTTCGCGTTTCATAACTTCCTGGTCTATTAGAATTTAATGCTGTTGATGAAAGAAAACTTTTATTTCCTATAAAAGTAAAGTATATAAAATATGTGAAATAAAATAAATATTACAAAACATTCTAAAAAGTATCAATACCTGGACCAAATGGTGTAGGACCACTTGCAATTTTTCCAATACTATTTCGAGATGTTTTCCCATCCAATTTAATATCTTCAAAAACGTTTGTATTATCTTTTAAAACGTATTTTCTAAAGTTCAAATATTGTTCCTTTTGTTGTTGAACTTTTGAATGTACACCTTGTAACTTACCAGCAACAGCAACAAGAGATTCGTGAAGTTTACTCATGGCCATTGTTAATTCTAAAAATAAATTGTATGTTATTGTAAAATTTTAGCAAAAATTAATATCAGTACAAATTTACCTTGTGGCGTTAAAGTTTTTGGAGTCATCATTGTCTGTATATGTTTTTCTGTTGTTTCAATTTGAGACCTAAATAACATTAAGTCATGTTCAAAGCTATCAGCTAATTCCATAAAAAATAATAATGGTGCATTATTTTCATATTGTAAGCCTGGTGGAGTATCGTGCGTCCTTTGAGCTATTTCAGCATTTTGTAATGCTTTTGCTGTATCCTGTTTTAACTTATCAGCAGCAGAACGGTCACGTTGAACTGATCCACCCAATGTTGTTAGAAGTTCCATTAATGATGCTGTATCTTCTGCACATCTATTCAATGGTCTTGCAGAGCCTCTTGCTATATCTGAAGATAATACTTTTTGTTCTTTTACAAATTCCCTATAATTGGAAACATATATTAAGTTAATTAATTAATTCTACACAATTTTAATATAATAGCTTCGCTATATAATAATTACTTGAATTTTTCTATTGTCTGTAATAATTCTGGTGGCCAAACATTCTCTTTGGCAGTTGAATTAGTATTTCCTTGTGAAAGCCCTTTATTACTTGATAATACATCTAATCCTCCTAATCCTCTATTTGCAGTGCTTGTGGTAGTTGTAGTACCAATAGTACCTAATTTTGATCCTAATAAATTGCCACTACCAAAAAGTGATGCTGTAAACAAAAAATATTAGAGATGATATTATTATTATACTTAGAGCCAATATTATTAATAACATTAAATATTTTTTAACTATCATATACTTGTGGTAGTAGGCGTTCCAAAGCTAACACTTCCAGTTGTAGTCGTAGCGGATGGAGCACCAAATGTTAATGTAGAACTTGTTGCCGGCGTACCAAAAGAAAGGCCGCCAAATAATGGTGCAGATGTAGTTGGAGCTGAAAATAAACTGCTCGCAGTTGTTGTACTAGTTGTATTTGATCCCAAAAGTAAACCACCTGATTGTGTTTGTACAGTGGTTGTAGGTGTAGCAAATCCAAAACTAAGCCCAGTTGTTGTTGCTGGTGTTGATGTAGCCCCAAAAGTTAATGTAGGTGCTGAAGTACTTGAACCAAAAGAAATACTGTTTAAGTTAAAACCTGTCTAGAAAACAATGAATTATTAATATTTCTGTATATAAATTTTGAATACGAAAACGTATATTGCAATTTCACAATGTAAGATTAATGAAATTATGGATAAAAAACGTAAAACTATGTATTTACTTTTGTCCAAATCCGAAACTTGTGTTGCTCGAAGTTGCAGGTGTTCCAAAAGTAAATGTTGACATAATTATAATATGTAATAAATAATAATACAAGTGAATGTCATGAAACAACACGCAATATCTTATATTTAAAATATTAACTCTTCATGCGCATGTTAAATTGTTTTAACTGTACGAAGTATATAGTTGTCCGAAGAGCGCCATCTGTAACGTGAAGATGCACGCTTTAAATTTGAATCTGCTTTCATAGTAATTATATAAATATTTATATGTATATTTTTGTAGAAATATGTATGTACATTTAAAAATATTGTTTACTTTAAATTTTTATATTTAAGATATTTTACTTAAAATAAAAATTTAAGGGGAAAATAAAAAAGCGTATATATGTGTATAATATTAAAAAATTTTTAAAAATACAAAAATCATTGGAAAATCATTTTAACCGTCATTGATTTAGCTTCAGACTAAATAACGAATAATTTCTAGATAATATTTCGGTTTATTATTAAATGTACCTATACTACTATATTATATAAATCAAGGGACAATACAATGTCTTTATCATTTCATAAAGTAGTAAATATTTTTCTTTGTATGTACGCGACAAAGTTCTAATAATTATACATTCCATCTATAGGAAATGGGATCAATTCAACAAAGTTTGCCAAATCGGTACACTGACTATCACAAAGTTGATTGCTGGTTCGGGTTCGTACATGGGCGTTTCTAAAATGATCACAGTCGCGTAGACTAAAAGAACGCGTCTAAAAACAGTTTCTTTCTATCAATAAACTTTTGTTTTTTTTTCAACATCATCAGGAATTACTTAATCTTCTTTTCTTTCTTCGTTTAATAATTTAGTAATTTTTAGATATTATTATTTGCATTAATATTCCTCTTGAACGTGTAAATATTTCAGTCTCATTTAAAATGAAGGAAAAAGAAAATCACATTTACAACGCTTGTATACAGTTTAGAATACACCCGGTACGCAGTATCGTACAGAGTACGAGTTACTTAATAATTGTAAAATGACACCGCAATATTATACTCTGTAATTACAAATACAATGAGATACCGTAGTTCTTCTTTTTTTTTTTTTTTTTT